TTCATATTTCGAATACTAGATGCTTTGATTAAACGTTATCTAAGTTTCTCAACCTCATACACCTTTCCTTCGACAGTTCATATGTGTGTGTCTAAACGATTCTAGAACTCATAGTAATAAGTCTAAAAATGTTTAGATCCATTTGCCTTTTCCCATAATTCGAACTATGAAGAGGGATGTCGTAATCATAGTTGAATTTGAGAAATCCAAATTACACAATGCTATCTTCAAAATCTTTCTTAGTGAAAGCGTTTCCTCACAACCATTTTCATGAAGGAGAGAAACCTTATGACACTTAGATTTTAATTGTGTATGTGCTCTTATCCATGTGAATTTGTCATAACCATAATCACAAGATAATGTTAGTGACAAATCCAAACTCTTCTGGACAGAACTTGTTCATTCTTGATTTCTTGCCATCAAGGGTCCCACCATTGCTTTGAAGTTATTTGAGCAACTCACCCCTACTTTTCAATGTACTTTACATTGATCAAGGTGCCTAGCTCCTATGCAGTCCATTAAGAACTCGTAGAACTCACATGCATAGCTGACTAAACTGGAATGGCACAGAAACAAGTATATGTCAACATGATAGGTTATGAACCTCAAGTCGTGTGCTAATGATTATAGATTAGGTTTATTCTTGATTAGTTCTTGAAAACTATTCAAGATAATTTAGACTCCCACTGACCTCTTGACATATATTATTCTCTTGTCAAGAAGCATTCCTTGACAAAACAAATACTCAAGAGTTAGCATGAAATTCTATCAAGACTAACAATCAACTTAATTTGTTCTTGTTGGTCTTTGTCTTTTTCAAGACATCACAACTTACAAATTTCAATTGTGTAGAAATAAGAAAACTTTCTATATTACACATTTATAAACCTACTTAAGATGTGTCACTCGATGTCACAATCTTAATTCGCTATTGGAACGAAGTATGATTCATCTTAATGTCTTAACTACTATAGCAATTCTTGATTCCTCTTCTTAGCCAAACCAGTGTTCTTAAGGGTTAATTGTAATATGGTTCTTTACTATTACTAAGACGATCATAAAACTTGATATAGAAGTACTCTCCCTTCTTTTTAGATTGGAGAAACTTCTTATCTTTTTGCCTAGTTGATTCTTCTTATTCGTTCTGCCATTCATTGAAACTTTTCAATAATTCAGAATTATACTTAATCTTGAAAGCATAACTACATTTACTACGCCTTTAGTAAATCATGACGAATAATCTTATTGTTATTTATGGTAGAGTTAAATAGCGCACAACACTGTGTACCAGACCTTCTAGTCCTTCACTTGACTCTTTGTCAAGGAATTAGTCTTAAAATTTCTAAGTATCAAGATTTCCATACATCACATTATTCAAATCATATGATTCCAAGATTCTGTTCAATTGAAACCTGGGCGATGGGATTCTTTCCTTACTTAGAAAACTACCATAAATGATATAACCAAGAATATCATCCACTTAATATTGCTTATAATAGAAACACATAAACATCAATTCTCATAATTTCCATCGCAAGGAAATATAAATAAGATAAAATCAAAATTTATTTTATTGCGGAAAAATATATCCTTACAACGCAAATGAAAACTATGCTATTACATATCCCTAAGCAATTTATCATAACTCTAAGCAACAGCTTAAAATCCAATCATCGAATCCATGCGATCGTAATCCATTTCTTCGCGATCAGACTCATCTTGCTCCTTCCATTAAGCTTCCTTTCTTTTCTTCGATCCTTTAAAACACCAAATGTAGTCTTATCACATCATGTTATTAAGAATCTCCAAATACGAACTTAATGGAGTTAGATAGTGGATTTTTTCCCCTGAAGTAGAGTCATACATCTTGACTCTCCCATCTCTTAGATCTCTCAGTTAGTCAATGCAACTTCGTAACCAATGCCCTTTCTTTTTTACAATAGAAACATATGGATTCTTCTAAAATGGTACATAGGACTATCTAGACTCAACCTTTCTCATGCGTAGAGAAAACTTTTTTGGACTTCCAATGTTTCCATTTCCCATAGAAAGTTAGGATATTGATTTATCAGACAAAATCTGCTCGACCAGTGCACAAAATCATTTCTGATTCAGCAGAAATAAGTAAATGTGTCAAATCAATTAGGGTCATGTCGTGGTCCATCATATAGTACTCTCTAACGAACTTACCATATGATTCGGGAAGTCACTGAAAAACCAAGTCAACAGCCAACTTCCTTGAGACATCGACACCTAACAATCTTGTCAATGTGTGACTTCATCTTTAAGACATCTGTCCACACAAACTTTCCATCTTTATGTCTTATTGCCAATAGGGCTTGAGTGACCTTGAACTTTTCAAGTTTTTAAACACGTAGGTCAGGGAGAATTCTTGGAGGAGGTGGAGAAATGAAGCATGATTTCCATTTCCACAATCTAATCGTGGAACATCATCTTCATGTGGAAAACCTTTTCCAACGGATTTAGGAAGACCATAGTTGTCAGACTTTGACATCTATGAAACGGGAAAAAAATTCAAGTTTAGTTGATTGAGTACTTAATAAAGAACCCAAATGAGATATTAAGGCTAGGATCCAACACAACATCCTACAAATTGGAAGAGGGATGTCGTAATCCAACTTGCAGAACATTTGAAGGTAAGTGAATGACGATTCACTAATTTCCCACCATGAAAAACAAAAAAAGGAATTTACGTTTTAAATGTATTCAAAACTCCTAGATCTTTTGAGATTCATTGAAATTTTCAATGGCATGTTAAAATCTCGATATGCCCCTCAATTTGTGACTGGGATACCGAGGATCACAAAACAGGGTGTGAATAACTATGCAAATATACATGGTTCCCCCAATGTCACAGTCACCTATTCGAATTTCTGGTTAACCACACAGACTCCACCGAACTATGACAACCATTGAGTCACCCTTTGCCACTTTTTCATTGAATCCAATTATTGTACCGCTTAACCACACACATTACACTAAGGTCTTACCAAGGATACACAGTGTAATTTCATGGAATTGCATCAATTCACTTTTGCCTAAAGTAACTAAGATTGAGAATTTTGTAAAACATTTAGCTACTTTATTTTTCATTATACTTTTAATGAGGAGAGGGTTTGCCCTATCCTACCTGTTTGGCTAACGACCATCCACCAATCAAGGAAGCGGTGGGTGAGAGTGGATACCCATTAAACGACCATTTTATAGGTCATAACCTTATACCCCCCCTTATAGATTGGCTTCATGAATGAGACCTACTAACGGTAAGACTAGCATTTAAGTTATACATATATAATATTAGACTTTTAATGTTATACATAGTATAAGGGTGTATTTTACATTTTTAAATTACTAGGTGGTTTAATTTTATAAATTACACTTTTAATTTAATTAAATATAAACCATATCATTATGGATTTATTAACTCTCTTTTAATTATACACTTAATTAATTTAATAAAACCATAAGGGTGTAATTTGAACTTTTCAAAATTAGGGTTTAGAATTTAGACTTTCAAAAATTAAACTTTTAATCAAACAATTTAAATTCCAAAATTTAAGGGCAAGTTTTGAAACTTTTCAAAACAATTAGGTTTTAACTATATTTAAAATTTTCAAAAAAATCAATCTTTTTAATTTTTAAAATCTTAAATATTAAAACACTGATTTAATAATTATTCAAAATTAAACAATTAATTTGAATTATTAAATCTTTGAGATATCTATTAAATTAAACAATTAATTTAACATAATCCCTTAAATACCCTAAAATTCAAAATTATGGGATGAGATAATTCAAAATCTTTAATTACCAAATTTAAACACTTAAAAGATAATTACAAGATATGACATTATCCAAATCCCTAAAATTTAGGATCAAATCTTGGGGAAGGAGGCAATTCCGAAATTTAAGGGTTGGATAACTCTAGAATTCAAAATCTTGGAGGCTAAGGAAAGGGTTTGGGAAACCCTAACCAAATTTCGAAATTTAAGGCTTGTGAACCCTAAATTCGAAAATCATGCCTTCAGGGTTTATTGGCTATAAACTTTAATATGTCAAATTCATACTTTTGTATAGAAAACTAATTGAAAACAAAACCCAATGTCTCTGATACCATTGTTAGGTTTTATACAAACAATCCTATGTGTGCATGCAACCCTAGAGTTGGATCTATGTTATCACTATTAGATATACAACATTATGAACACGTAAAGAAACCTAGCATGCTTCTAGTAATTTCGATTATCACAAAGAATGATCAAATACATACCTCTTGTTGTTATATTGTAATAACAACTTGAATCTTGAATCTTCTTGTCTTTGAAAGCAAGTACCACAAGTGTAGTACCTCTAATGGCTCACAAACACCAAGAGCAAATGGAGATGAAAGAGAGAGAGAGAGAGAGAGAGAGAGAGAGAGAGAGAGAGAGAGAGTATGAAATTCGGCTCTAGGAACACTAGGGATCAAGTCATGGATGAATTTCATATGCCAAGGGGTGTTTATATAGGTGCAGGGATTAGGGTTTCAGTCCTTATCCTTATCTGATTACTTGCCCACCAAGAAGTCCAAAGGATAACCCTAGAAACCTTATCATGGACGAATTCTAAGGCCTTATCCCCTTGAATTCGTCCACCCTATCCTATAGGGCATCCATTGCCCTACTTTGCAACTATCACATAATTACAGTTCAGCCCCCTAGTTTAGTTAACTTCTTTTAATCACAAAATCAATTCTTAACCAATGTTAAATAAATAAATATGATTTCTCCTCACTACTAGAAAAAAGGCCTTTTACGACGCGCAAAATACGACGCTCATTGATCTATGTTACGCAACGGAGAGTGACATTAGAAAAATGTCATCTCTTCAAAAAATTTAAGGATAGAAGACACGCATTATTGCACGCCCTTAAATTAGTGTCTAAAAAAAACATGGAGGGCACCTATAATAAATGCGCGTCGTCTAAGGATGTCGCTTTATATTTTTTCATGGAACGCGCGTTCCATCCTTTAATAGTGGGGGAAAGGGGGAAATGAAATTCTGAAAAAATTAAAAACCCCGCCATGCTCTCCTCTACCTTCTTTCAATCGTTCTTCTCTCTCTCTCTCTCTATCTCTCTCAATCAAATACCAAAAATCGACTATTGTTGGAACTAGGTTCCGGTTCTTAGTGAAATCGAAGGTTTTTTGGTCACTAGGCCATGAAATTGATCAAAGGGGTACAGTTTTTGGAACCATGACTATTTTTGGAACTAAGGTTTCAGTTCAAAAACCCTTCATCTACTTCCCTCGATCTTTAGTTCCTCAAGTACTTTCTCAGCCTCTCAATCAATAGAAGAGTTGTATCACAACTACAAATTTAGAGTGATTTCCATATCAAGTAGAACAGTAGCTCCATTAAAGTCAAGGTCTCGAAACTCCATGGTCAATCACCATCAACATTCTACTTCTTTATTTGTTCCAGAGGTTTGTCTTCCTTTATTACGAGTTTTATAACCTTTTTAATCAAACTCGATTAGCCCTCGATACCTAATGTTATCTTTTGCGTTGTTGCTTCTGCTCTGTTCTTCTTGAAACCTCCCCACACTCTCATGTCGAAACATAATTTATGATATCGAGTTGGAAAGCAATAGAAATGGCTATGAAGGTCGGTTGGGTTGGACGATTCTCTGGAGGACGAGAGAGATTTGGACATGGCAGATCGTAGGGCTACAGAGATTGAGCTTGATACCATGGAGGGTTTTGCGTCAAGGGAAAAGCTCCACCATCATCTCAACGACCAAGGTTGGTTAGGGTTTCTGTTTTTTTTTCTGTTTTATTTCCATTCCTTCACCATCACCAATGTTACTTTGTGCTTCATCTGATGTACGATTACCTTCTCCTTGTTATGGTGGCAATACTCCTATGGTTTGCTCTGATTCTCCATGGGATAATTTTGCCCCTTCTCTTGTTCTAATTAGGGCAATAATGAGATTATGATGTTAGAGATGGAGTACAACTCTGAGAGTATAAAGGTTGTTTGAGTATAAAATCCCATATCGACTCTCTCTGTTCATGGATAGCTTGAAGTTTATACATCTTTTGTATATTCTATAAAATCTTGCAGCTAATTTACTTTTCTTATTTTAAACCAAGGATTTGAATGGATAGATGGTTTCATTTTTTTAATTCAAAAATTGGAACTCTTATACTCTGTAATATTTTTTTTCAGCTGATTTGATACAAGAAATTGATAGCAAACTACCTGTTGTACAGCTTGCTCTTGAGCTCACTCACAAGATCTTTGGTTCTTGTCCACCTATGCAAAGTTTTGATCCAGCCAAGATGCTCACAGTAAGATTTTATTTAACTATATCATTGATGCAATTTTCCCTTTTTCCTATTCCTAAAATGAACTGATGGTATAGTAATTAGGACTACGGGAAGCTTCAAACACTTGATATAACGGTTGCATGCAGGAAATCATCATGTTCTCTTGTTTGCTCGCAAATCCCATTTTGGCTCTGTTTTTTTTTAATCAAGTGCTGTTAAAAAAAATATATTTTATAAAATGAAAATGCACTTGAAAAATGAAAATGTTTGATGCTTTCAAGAAAAGATACAAACATGTTTGATGCCTTTTGTCTTTTCCTTTTCTCCTCGTGAAACCAGGGGCTCACATGTACACACTTCAACTATTCAACACACACTCACATTCGTATTTTTATATGTATTTCAACACGTCTTCCCGTTCACACCCTCCAACTGTTTGATTTAATGTCCCAGTGAGTTTTTATTTTCTATCACTTTTATTATTGCTTCTCTCTCTCTCTCTCTCTCTCTCTCAGAAGAAAAAGAAGGGGAGACTCAATTCAGTGTTTTGAATTGAGAAGAAAGAAGAAGATCAATATCTGGATCAAGATGGGTTTTTGTTTCAGTGTTAGATTGAAAATTGAAAGTTCACATTGTTATAACTTTTATATTTTTGTGATGAATTTTTATATGTTTGTCTAGAAGAACTTATACTTCTCATTTCATTTTCTTATCGATAATCTGTGGATGCATTGTGTAAATATAAAAATAGAACATAATAAAGTTGAATTTCTTCACATTTTTATATTTTTGTGATGTATCCAGCTGCATAAAATTAAGCAGTATAGAGAGTAATATGGTCTTTTTGATTAAAAAAAGGGTGTTATGATCTTTTTGATGTGTTTAAACTTCAACAGGTAAAGTTACATCTACATCAGTACCTCCAAGCTCTTGGACTCCTAGAAGTCAAACAGAAATCTTACAATTGGGAAATTTAAAGCCTTTTAGCTTCAATGTACTTAAATTGGCTACAAGAAATTTCCGACTCGATAATGTTCTTGGAGAAGGTGGATCTGGGTCGGTTTTCAAAGGATGGATCGATGAACAATCTGTTAAGAGATTAAATCAAGCGATCTTTAAGGTCTTCAAGAATGGCTCGCATGTTCTTATGCATAAGACAAATTCATTCTCGAATCTTCTTTATTTAAATCAATGAATTACAACTCATAATTTATTTTTTTGATCATGTTGCAGGCAAAATTAATTATTTAGGGATGTTAAATCATCTCCCCCTGGAGACACGATATTTAACATGGATCAAAGACACGATAATAAAATCCAGGAGACATCTTCCATTGATGCCCTAAACTCTTATCCTGGCTTAATGGTAGGTAAGCTTATTTATCTTTATTTTTGCTCACAAATCTGATAACTATGGTTGCAGAAAGCAGTCAAACAATAACATTAACACTTAGGTAACAGGAATAATAACATTAACAAAAACAAAAACAGTGAAGGTAGAGTAACAATAGCAATAACAATAAACATAAATTATTACTGTATAATCATATGTAGCAGTCTCTGTATCCTGTAAGAACTCTGGTTTATTTATTTATTTTTCCTTATTTTTTTGCAGTCATCTGGCCCATGTTGTTTAACCATTCAACTGATGGATGTTGGGAATGCAAAGACTGATGTGGTTGCGGTTTCTGTGGATCATAATTTTTCAACTTATCTTCACAATGGTTTTCTTTCTGTTGTGCCTGGAAAAAAGGATTCTGGTATTATGTTGCAGAGGTAATAACTAATAAATATTAATACTTCTTATGACATTGAGTAAATAAGTATCTATTTATGTTCATATTTAATTTGTTTCCTAATTACATGCAGAAATAAATGCCAATTCTCAGGTATTGATGAATCTTCTGCTATATCAGCTGTCATGGAAGGCGTACATGTGGTGAATGGTTTGGAGTATAAGATGTATTGCAGCTCATCAAAGGTAATTATTATCGTATGCGATTTATTTTGCATCTGATTAAACTGCACAAGTGCACCACTCTATGGAGGAAGTGACGACCTGCTTTCTGATGCCCCTTCATTTGACCTACCAGTTACATCAGATGTGAGTTTCTTTACAATTCTTGCCTTTTTCTCTTTTCCTTTCTGCTAGATATTAAGTGAATGTATATATTGCTAAAACACTACATCAAATCCTTTGCTTCAGTTTGATGGATTTCAGAAGAATTCTATCCAAATGGTAAAACCAGCAAAAGGAACAACAACTTTGGCTTTTATTTTTAAGGAAGGTGTGATGGTTGCTGCAGATTCCCGAGCTAGCATGGGAGGCTATATATGTATGCATTTCTCCTTCTAAATTATAATATATCTTTACTTGATTAATAATTAATTATGAATCGAAAGCAACATGATTTGAAAGCATTAAATAGTCTTCAAAAACACTCGTTTAATTTTGTTTAATTTTTTTTTTGCAGCATCTCAATCTGTGAAAAAAAATCATTGAAATTAATCTGTATATGTTGGGCACAATGGCTGGAGGAGCTGCAGATTGTTAAAAATGGGAGTTCTATCGCCAAGATGTCCAGTACATTGTTAAAAATGGGAAAGCTCTTATAATAAACGAGGTATTACAAACATCGTATTTTTATTTTAGGAGAAAAACCTAGTTATATTGCTGTAAATTAATGTTCATTTGAAGTTGACGGGGAGAGTGGAAAAAAAAGACGATGGTCAGAGGGGATTCACCTGGCTGTGGAGGCAAAAGAAGGGTTACCAATCCAGGTATATATTGCGATTGCCTGCCACATCATCATTCTTTTTGACAACTCTTGTTTAAAGCTATTACCTTGTATTCCTCTTGGGCTTTGCAGGCTGATTCAGTTGTAGTGGCACAAATCACATACCAATCAATGTTTAAGCTTTATCCAAAGCTTTCAGGGATGACAGGAACTGCAAAAACTGAAGTAAGTATTCACTTTCTATATGGGCTAAAAATATAACAAGCAACAATAACTACTTGTTTTCATCTATTTGTGTGTTATAGCATCCTACTTTCATTGCTTTCTACCATACTAGCATACTCTTTAAAAAAGATATCTTTCATAAGGCACTGTACTTTGAAAACTATACCACTTATGGTTATAGCTGTATACTTTCATTTTTTTTTCTTTTTAGGATGTTGTACTGAGAGTAGGATGCTGGTAATTAGAAATAGGTAGCTATTCTTTCATTTGGCCCTAACGTTAATGTGAATGGTATATGGTTTTGGGTAAATAACGCAGCTAAATACGTGGGCAAAAGTGAGAACAAGAGTTGGACATATGAGAAGGCAAAATCTATAATTTCAGAGTCAATTGAAATGAGCCAGTCAATGGGTTTAGATGAACTGCAAAGGCTTGTGGAAGAACAGGCAGAGATGTACCCTCTTGGTCCTTGCATTGCAATTGCCTATTTATCGGTTCTAAAGGACTGTGAGATTCATTGCTTTCATGAAGGATTGGAAGTCAAACGACTTGGTGGTCTCCATGTCATTGGGACATCTTTGCATGAGTCCCGAAGAATTGATAATCAGGTAACTTTGCATCAATATTGTGTTTTAAGGTTTTACATAAATTTAGCATATACTTTCAGACTCACTTTTTTAATTTATTTCTTGCTTTACAAAGCTTCGTGGCAGAGCAGGAAGGCAAGGAGATCCTGGATCAACACGCTTCATGGTCAGGTAAGTTCTGTTAAATGATTTTTATAAAGTTTAAAGTCAATCCTTTCATCTGGACAAAATTCTTCATGTTAAATTACGTAATAGTCCTTGGAGTAGTTGACATGAACAGTTTTTTTTTGTTAGAATGATTCCATATATATGTGCAAGCAAGCACATGCCTTGTGAAAAAGGGAAATCTATTCTAGTCATTCTCTTTAACAAGGCAACCTTAAAGTTGATTTTTTAAACCTGATGTTTAAAACTACATTGAGTGTGAGATAGAAGTTTATGCAGAGAAGGAAAAAGATAGAAGTTTTTGAGGATGTTGCTGATGAAAAAGATAGAAGTTCTTTAGGATGCTGCTAATGAAGTTTATGCAGAGAAGGAAAAAGATAGAAGTTGTTGGCACATAGTAAGCTAGATAATGCAATTGTATATAAATGAGTTCATTTTTTTATAACATTTACTCACTATTGGAATAATTATTTGTATTTGACATATTAGTGAAATGAATTATCTTTGTTATTTATGGTATTTTATTTATTATTATGAGATTTCTAATGTATTATTTAATATGAAAAATTAGTAAATCTATAAATAATATTTTTTTTAAACATTTAAAATTATGATACGCAAAAATGTGTGTCATCTTTATTTATGACATGGCCTTTCTTGACAGGGGCTTCCTTGATACGCATTGCGTGTCATAAACACGCGCGTCGTAAGGTTACGACACGCAAATGCGTGCCGTCTTCCTTTATGACAGGGCCTTCCTTGATACGCATTGCGTGTCATAACCGCGCGTCGTAAATGCGCGTCGTGTATAGACGACGCGCAAAAGCGCATCGTCTCTCTTTATGACAGGGCCTTCCTTGACACGCATTTGCGCGTCGTCTGAGCGTTTTACGACGCGCAATGAGCGTCGTAAAAGGCCTTTTTTCTAGTAGTGCCTTTAATATATTATTCATATAATATATTAATAAACCATAATAACCTCTTTCTCTATTATTTCTCCAGTCAAGTTGCTTTGGTGAAGGCAACCCAAAAGGACCATGCACAACCGGGTTAAGTACTTACCAAATATGGTTACAGGCTTAGACTCTAATCCAACAATTATCGTCTTAGAATTAATCATGATTGAATCCATGAAGTAATCTCTAAGTGTGGGTTTAACCAATACTCAAAATCCATGTTTCTAAGTACTTGATGTTAAATATACTAGTATTTTCTTTTGATATACCTTTATCTCCCATGATCTTTTGGTTCGTTGGTTAAATCAACCACACCTTCGTTGTCGCATAAAATCTCCATGGGCTCTTGGATTTATGGAACAACTCTAAAGTCACCAATGAAATTCTTCAAACAAGTTTCTTCCTTTGCTACCTAGTTCACTACAATATACTCTAACTCATAAGTAAAATAGCCACCATTTGCTGCTTGGAACTTTTCCTAGTTACTGTTCCACCATTGAATAGGAATGCCCATCCAGATTGCGAATAACTATTATCCTGATCCATTAGAAAATTGACATTACTATAACCACTCATTTTAAGTTCATATTTTCCATTGAAAACTAAGATCATATTTTTGGTTTTCCGTAAATAGTGAAGTATGTTCTTTACTGTTATTTAATGATTTGCCTCAGGATCTCCTTAATATATGCTAAACATGCTTAAAGCATAAGCCACATCAAGGTGAGTACAAGTCATAACATAGATGATTGATCCTATAGCCGAATCTAGGGATGAGCATATGGACCGGGGAACCGGCCGGAACCAGTAGCGGAACCGGAACCGGCACCGGAACCGGAACCCAATGGAACCGGTCGGGCTGGGACCGGGACATTATTTTTATGGATTTTTGGAACCGAGAACCAGTAGCAACCGGAACCGATATAACCAGAACCGGTAGAACCGACAAAGGTAGATCCGGCAAAAACCGGCACCGTATGATGCTATTTTTCGAGGACCTATTCAAACATTTGAAGACATGACAAGAACCGGTAGAACCGTCGGGTTGGTTCAGTTCTTGATTTTGGCCAAAGCCGGTTCTCGGGACGGGTTCGGTTTGGTCCTTTTACTCATCCCTAGCTGAATCATATGGGTTTCAGTTTATCTTAGGTATCACACCTAATGAGAGCCTTAAAATTCGAGACCTTCATACGTACGAGTGAGGGAGGTTTCCAACTCTACATTTCATGAGGTGGTTTGGAAACCTTCTTGGTAGGAACGAGATTGAGGATACAGTTGGTTGTCTCTAACGCACACCCCCAAAATGATATAGGGAATGAAGCTTGACTCATCATGGAAGGAACCATGTCAAGTAAGGTTTGATTTTTCCTTTCAGTTACACCATTAAGTTGTGGTGTGATGTGATGGGATCATCAATTGTGAAACAATTTTACATTCCTTAATATAATCATTGAAACTGATACTAAGATATTATCCTTCTTTATCTGATAGGATCCTCTTTATCTTTTTCCCCAATTAGTTCTCTTCTTCATGCTTAAACTCTTTCAAAGATTTTCGACTTATGTTTGGTTAAATAGATATAACCATCATTAAATGTCATATGTCATGTAGTAGTGATTATCATCCCTTGTGTCGAACTTGAAAGGATCGCATTCATCATTTGAATTCAAGTCAAATGATTCCAACACACCATTCTTTTGGAGTTGGGTAATGCGTTTCTTGTTTATATGCCCAAGACGAAAATTCCATAAGCATGCCTTGTCTAAAACATTGGAAGAACCAATACTAAATACACTATTACCAAGGTCATTAACACACAAAACAATTTCATACATGCCATTACAAGGATAATATTTTAAAATAAAAACACTGTTTTTAAAAACCAAAATTGCACCATCATTATTGTCAAACACATAATGATAACTTTGTCTAAATAAAGCATGAGAATAAATTATGTTTTTTTTGTCATTTTTGACAAATAACAACAATTGTCTAAATTAACCCTAGCACTATCACTAAACATAAGCTCATAAGTCCCAATCTTGGTAACAGCCGGAATATATCTATTCACCATGATCAGGTTCAACTTCCATGTTCTATGCTTTCACTTTCCCTTAGTCCCTACATATCATAACAAATATAGACACCACATCACGTATCAAGGATCCATGAATTTGAAATTTGAGTGCTACTGATTTATATATAGTACATACCATATGTGGAGCCAGACACCTTGCATTTAGTTTCTCTCACTTCTCGTAGGTACTTGGGGAAACTTCTCTTCCAATGTCCCTTCTGGCCATAGTGAAAGCACATGACCTCTTTCAAATCACTGACAAGAGGTGAATAAACGTTGAACTTTCCCTTTGGCCCACCATTGGGCTCTCCAATGGGGGATTTCCCTTTCCATTTGGGTTAGGAATAATCCTTCCTTTTCTTCCCCTTTCCTTGTTGAATGGCAATGACAAGTGCATTTACACTACTGTTCGAATGTGATTTTTACATTCCAGCTTTAGCAGTTTGTTATAGACTATGTAGTTCAATCAATGTTGTTATTTTGTTTTTAAAATGATAAGTTAGGATAAACTAATCATAACTTATTTCTAAAGAGTTAAGGATCATATCAATGGCCATATTCTTTTTGAAACTCTCATTCAGATTTTTTCCAGTCTTTCCACGTGTATCTGCATCTTTTGCACATGAGCACACAGACTTTCCTTCTTCTTTCGATTTGCATTCCATTAGGTCTTTGCCGACCTCACGACACTCTTGTCTTACTTTCTTGTGGAACATTTGAGCAAAAGCCATGTTCATTTCATATGGAAAATATTCCTCATAGTACTTTTATAGATCAGGTGCCATGGTTCAAATCATTATACAAGTGATCTTGGTGGCATCATTAACATGTTATTTACGTTTAAAACTTTCCTCGGGTGCAGCAGTTGCCTCATCAATTTCGGGAATTGGGCTATTAAGAACATACTACTTGTTCTCATAGCGAAGTATCACCTTCAAATTTTTTCATCCAATCCAAATAGTTTGGACTAGTAAGCTTTTATTTTCACAAAATTGATAGAATAGTGAAGTTTGAGTTTTGAGTGGGTGGAGGAGGAGGAAGAAGATCACCATTTCCATACATAAAAAATAAGAGATAAATTTTTAGTTAGTTGACTCAATCCTTAATATTTTAACCTACGTTAATATCTAAGGCTATGATCCATAAATACAATTCCTCTATAGATTTAACAATACATTCCAATCATAAATCCAAAATCTAAATGGTTTCCAAACGATTCTTCTACCATTAAAGATGATATCTCTAACTTATTATTAGTCTCCCTTAATATTTGATCCAAATTTGTTGATTTACTCTATGTAGTAAGCCACATATTTGTCTAATATCTTTATGAATACAAGGCATATATTAAATTATTAAGATGAAAATTAATTAAGTTTGTTTCCCAATTTAGTTCTAGGTGTTCCATTCCGGCTCTCCAAATAAATTTTATTACACTTTTCTATCTTCTTTGCCTTCAAAAAGGGGTAGGGTATTTATTTTTTTCTTTTTTTTATCTAGTATGGTTGGCTTCCTCAGGGTGAAAGCACTCACATCTATTTTTTTAAGAAAAATAGGTTGCCCCGCCGACCTAGCCTTCGTGATTAGCGGTGCTTATCGAGCACTCCTCACTCTGGAGGTAAGCACCTCGATAGCGTATTGGATTCTTCCGGTCCTTTCTCACCAAAATCACGTGGCT